CAACTCGAACCGACCTCCGTACCTGCAGAACCCAACGCCGGGGGTGGCCCCGGCGTCGGGCCTCCGATGCCTAAGTCAGTGCTCAGATCAAGAGAGAGAAAGTGTGTAGTATGGAATGAAATAGAGGAGAGAATGAGGTACCTTGGCCCCCTTTTATAGAGGGAGTGTACATTTTCGGCCCAAGTTGGGCTTAGATGTCTTAGTGGGCTTATCTTCCAATATGTATCCACTTTATCCATTAAACCGGGCCCAGTATAATATTCTATATCAAACTTTATATTATTATATTAATTAAAATGAATTTATTTTTGTATAAACTATCAAAAAATTTAAATAGTTGAGTAATTTATTGCACTGTTCTAGAAATAGGCCTAGGCGGCCGCCTCCGATTTGCACAAATCGGTCGAAAAAGTTGGTCAGCGGCTAGGTGGCGCCTAGGACACTCTAAGAAGTAAAATTATTACATCTAAAAAATGTATAATAAAGAAGGAAAAAAAGTAGATAAATTTAAAATTAATACATCTATGTTATTGAAGTTAATGCATCTATGTTAAAGAAGTTAAAGAAGCCTTGTCGAAGACGGCCCTAGGCATTATTAGGCGGACCTAGGCGCTTCTAGGCGGCTCGGTGACAATTTTTTAGTTTTTTTTTTATTATTTTTTAAATACTAATTACATTATTTTATTTTTATGTTTTCATTAAAGTATATTAATATTATTATTTGGACTTAGGTGTGTGGATTTATTATAAATTGAGATAGTTTTATTTTGTAAGTAGTTAAATTAAATAAAAAAATAATGTATTTAATAATAATTTCTAGGCCCCAACTAGGCACCGCCTAGGCCTCGCCTAGGCGCTCTTGCGCTAGGCACTGGTCAAGCACCTAGCGGGCGCCTAACTACTTTTAGAACATTGATTTATTGAACTACAAATAATTGACTATTTTATTTTCGTCAAAGTTAATGTTGACTCGTAAGTTATGAATAACTACTTATTTGATTTTTAAATATGAAAGTCAAATTTAGACTACACTATAAATTCTTTTACATATTTCATATATGTATATTTTTGTCTTGCAATTTTCTAGATTTGGTATCGGTTACCTTATTGTTCAAATTTATCAACTAATTCTCTAAAATTAAATTACAGATTTTAAATTCTATTAACCCATATTTGTTATAAGATTTTTATGATTTTCAAGAGGAATATATACCAATTGTCGAATTATCATCAATATCCATGATAAGTTATTATGTTAATTTGATAATCCTGTCACCTTGATTTATAACAAATCAACCTAAAATTCAATTTTAATATTCATTCAAATAAAATTAATACCACTTATTTTATTTTCCATATACACTTCTATCCATACTAGATAAAATTCAAACCATTTAAATTTAGTCATTTCCAAAATAAAATCGCTCACTTTATACCATAAATTTAGACATTTATTAATAACAACACATTTCTACCAAAAATGACCATATATACCTCAATAATATCGTCCACTTTATAGCAAACCCAGGTTTTTATTTTGTCAACTTTATGCCATAAATTGATTAATTAATTTATAGAGACGGATTTAGATAGATATTAAAGACACCTAAACTATTATGTAACATATGTAAAACGTACTTAAAATATTCTATATTATCTTTACAAAATTTGTGAAGTCACCTTAATTTTTTTCTAAACTATTTTGAAGAAAAACATGTTGAAAAATACTTAAATTTAACCTCCATATATATATATAATTTGTTTTCCACGACTTTGAGTTAATCTGTATTTGATTTTTTTTTTTGGTTAATTAAGACAAAAACTGTTACATTTTTATTAAATGAGAAATAATTATATTTTTTTATGGAATCATATAATAATTATTATTAGAATTAGTAACTATATTTTACACTAATGATATATAAAAGTTACAGAAACAATTGCAAAATTATTTTGTTCAAGTTATTTATTCAAAAATTAATATTATTTTTTCTTATTACGTGATTGTTTTAAATAAATTATTTTTGTAATGTCATAGTGAAATTTATTAAAAATTGCTAAAGCAATTGTTATAATAAACTTAATATTTTTCAGCTAATTAATTGATCATGATCCCACAAAACTACAAATATTTTATTATTTATTACATTTTATGCAATCAATATAGGAATTAGTATGCACTCAAATCGTTATGTACCGTTTATTTTAACCAATGATCAAATTATAAAACATAATACTATTATCTAACTTATAATTATAATATTATTATATCTGTGCAAATACACAAGATTGAATACTACTACACACGAGTAAAGGCATACGCATCTATACTTATATTAAAAGTCATTCTATTTACTAAAAATAGTAGGCAGAAAAGTCAAAGATAATTAATGCATGCTATTTTTGTCAAGTATTTTATTTAACTATTTTATTTAATTGTTTTATCCCATAACATAGGTTTAGTCAAAAAAATCCCATAAAATCAGTTTTTTTTTCACAAAATTGAACATAAAACCAAAACAAAAGGCATATTTCATCGGGCAGATTTGAAATTTAAATAACGTGAGACATTCCCACATGATTTGTTTTAAAATAATCTGGTGTATAGTTTATACAAATTTCGTACTATACAGACTCTTGAAATCATAGGAAAGTACGAATTATGTGGACTCTTGAAATCATTTTCGGTAGATACCGAAAATGATTTCGTCTATTTTATTTTCTAAATAAATGATGCAATAAAAAAAATTGTATAGTATAAATTATCATAATTACACGTAGAACATGAGCAAATATGAGACAAAGATAGAGAATAACAAATAAAAAATAATATATTGAAGAAGTATATTACATAATTTTATTCTGCAAAAATTTGGTCGAATTTGTTAACTCATCATAAATAATATGACAGTACACCTTTCCAATACAACTTACCATGATTTTTTTTTAAAACACATATTATTTTGTGAAATTATTATTATTATGTTTATAAAGTACATACTATTTGTTAAAAAATTGTATATATATATATATATATATATATATATTATACACATCACAGTACCATGCTAGATGATTTTACATTTCTACCGAACAAAATGCCAATGATTTAAATTTGAACACACCTAAGTGTTTGACCAAATGTCTGGATGATTTAAAATTGAGCCCATCGAAAATTATTTAAATTTGAACACACCAGAAATTTTATGTACTTTTTATTTATAAATATATTGAAAGGGTATTTAATGGCTGTTATATAAACTATTTTAATATATTCGTAATGAATAAAAGTTTGAATGAATAATTTGTAATGTTATTCATTATGTTTGTGACTTATGAGACACGAACACATAACTCCATACATATTTTGCCGGAAGACGACTTAAGAATTCTCATAGATTGTTCAAAGCTGTAATGGATCAACAAATCGTGGAATAAATAAAAAATCATGAAAATGTTTCCTACACTGGTAAAACGCTACAAACTGATAAAGGCTAAAAAAATTATATGAAAAACTTTTATGTTTGTTTAGATTAACAACTTTGATCCAACAAGTTAACCTTTTCTGTTTGGCCAAAATAATAATCAAACTTTATAAATCAATAAGCAACATGTTTGGTAATAATCAAACATTATAAATCATTAGCATATAAAAATCAGTCTTAATTGAATGTAGAATATGTTGTAAAATTGAATGTCGAGTATGTTGTAAATCAATTCACACGGTTAAATTTGTGATAAATAAAAGTAACAAACTAAAAATTAAAAAGTTTAGATGACATGTGACATGCATCCCGCTCCGAGGAAACCTTTTATCTTATGGCATATTGTTAGCTGCATCTAATTTATTAGATGTGTAGACGAATATGATGGATAAAAAACTCATTATAATGAGAAAACCTTTAGAATGCTGGCTGCATCTAATAATTTTTTTTTTTCTATCTGCAACCAGCATTCTAGCTATACTAAAGTAAATCATTATATTATTTAATAATATATTATAGTTATATTATCAAATCATAAAAGATATTACATCCATATTGTAAAAAAAAAAATTCATATAATTTTATAACAATTCTACTACCTATTTAACATTATTCTTTTTTATTATATAATAAAATAATAATTAAAAATTATATGGTGAACAAGAATAAGTAAATTGTTACTTTCTCTTATATCAAAGGATAAATTTATATGTTAAAACTAAATTTTTATTGATATAAATGTTTTTGTGAGATAATATATAAATTATTTTACAAGTTAGCCCTAACATGCTCATATTTAATGTTCTGCTAAAAAAAAGAACGTTGGTTAAAAGATGTGAAAAAACTTATAACCCTATTGTTTTTTAGGCTTAAATAATTCATTTACTATCTATGTTCCGTGCATCGCACGAGGTACGTACTTCATTCTAATTCATTTAATCACAACTTACACTTTCTCTCTCATCAACATAATATTTCTTTTAAATATCTCTCCATTTAAACAATTT